GTGTCTTTTAGGATATTCCAACCAGCTTCTGTTGCTCAGACTAATATGAAATCTGGTTAAGGTTAGGAATATTGGGCTTTGGAGTTTTGAAATTGGTTATTGAAACAAGCCTTGACCTTACTGATATCCTAAATGTTTCCTAAGACTTTGAGAAAGGTTCTTTGCATTGTGTTTTGCAAATTGCAAGTGGTTTATTAATCCTAGTTCCTACTTGTATCCAGAAGTGGGCTTGAATCCTGCTCCCCTGCCTTTTTGAATGGGTAGACAAAGCTGTGACTTCAAGAGAAATTGATGGCTATGACAGCTAGTGTTCGAAGACTGTAGCTCTTGGTCAGGCCACCCATTTCAGAGGCTTGGTGGCCTTGGCCTGCTAACTACAAGGTGAGCTGTTCAAGCCCCCTAGCAGCTGCACTGAGACAGATGAGGCTGTCCACCCTTAAACCATTGCATTGAGCATGTGTGCTGGCACAAGATCTCTTTAAAGTGTGTTGAAGAGTAAGGGTGTTACTTAAAGGATTAGGATATACCTGATCCAACCCATGCTATTCTCCGTCACCTCCCATGCACACTTGAAGTTGGACATTGAATAACGAAGACCAAAGAAGAATTGATGCATTTGAATGATGTTACTGGGGAAGAATATGGAGAGTATCGTGGACTGCCAGAAAAACAAACAGATCTGCCCTGAAAGAAGTACAGTCAGAATGCTCCTTGGAAGCGATGATAGTGAGACTTCGTCTCAGGTTCTTTGGCCGTGTTGTCAGGAGAGACCAGTCCCTGGAGAAGGATCTCATGTTTGGTAAAGGGAGGAGTGGCAAAAAAGAGGAACACCCTCCACGAGATGGGCTATCATAGTGGCTGCAACCGTGGGCTCAACCCTAATGACAATGATGAGGAGGCACAGGGCTGTACAGAGGGTCACTGTGAGCTGGAACCGACTCGATGGCACCTACCAGCCACATCCCAGTAGGTGAAGTCCTGCAAAGAGAAGGAGAACCGTGCAAGTTGAAGCAGCATTTCTGAATGAGGCCCAGCTCGCACAGTTATAGCAGTCTACACTCCCTGAGCACTACGTGAGGCTCGTCGCACCATCCCCATGGAGGTGGAAGTGTCCAGCGTTCTGACAGGTGTAGCCTCTAAATTGTCTGTATCTTTGTAGTCTATATTATTGTAGTTTACAAATTGCCTTCTTAATGCCATTTGTCCATTGTCCTTGTAGTTACAGTATTTTTGCAAGATAACATGAAATATATGGTTTTTGTTTTTGCAAGCTACATGATTTTTTTACCCCCATTCCAATTTTTAAATGGTAAATTAGGTAGGGGGTTACATTTTGCATGATCAACTTTGTGTTCACCAGTTTAGACCACTAATCAAACACCCTAAGAGTTTATGTTTTACCTGCTCCTTGGTTTCTCTTCTTTCTCTTCCATTTCACCCAGGTTAATGCCTGTCGATAGTCCAGTCCATTGCTCTATATCCGGATCTTCCCTTTCCCTTCCCTGCTTGGCAGGCTCCAAAATCTGTTCCCTTTGGTATGGATGTCTTTATCTTGGTTTTAAGTATTTTCCCCCTTGTAACAAGGGTCTCTCATATCATATCTGTTCTTCACTCAGAGGAGCCCTGGTGGTGTAGTGATTCCACACTAGGCTGCTGACTCCACGATCAGCACTTCAGAAACCACCAGCCAGCTCCTCGTGAGAAAGATGAGGCTTTCTCTTCTCATCAAGAGGGACGGCCTTGGAGACCCGCAGGGCAGCTCTAGCCTGTCCTAGAGGGTTGCTGTGAGGCAGAACGGACTCGATGGCAGGGGCTTGTTTTGAGAATGTCATTCAGGATGCTGCTCTCCATGTGGGTGGGTGGATGCGTGCTTTGTACTTGGGAAAATATGGTGCTGGTTTCTTGCTGGTTTATGAGAGTTTCTTACATGTTCTCTGTAATCATCCTCTTTCCATTTCTAGCATTAGGAACATGTCCCATGCCTTTCATTGAACAAAAATTGTACTTTTGATGTCATAAAGTTAATCATTTAATTCGATAGGAGCCCTAACGGGCAGCCAGCCTGTGCTGATGGCGGAGGAGCCAGGGCCTCAAAGGAGGAGACTGCGTACACAACTCAAAGCCTGTAACCAGTGTCACTAGATTGTACGCATGGAAACTACTGGATAGGTGCATGTTTGCTATGGAGGGGCGCAACAACAAAATAAGATTTAGACAAAAAAAGTAATCGTTGACTTTGTGGGTTTCCCCCAATTCACAGGTCACAAGGATATTTTCCCATGTAATCTTCTCTTCATTTTAGTTTTGCATTTTGCCTTTCGATCGTTCATCGCTGTGGCATCTACTTATCATGTGGAGTCTAGTTTTGTGGAGAGCCAGTTTCCCAAAGCAGCCTTCTTGTGAGCCAGTGGTTCTCACCTTCCTCGTGCCGTGACCCTTTCATACAGTTCCTCATGTTGGTGACCCCCAACCATAACATTATTTCCGTTGCTACTTTATAACTGTCATTCTGCTACTGTTATGAATCGGGTGACCCCCCGGAAAAGGGTGGTCAAACCCCAAAAGGGTCGCGACCCACAGGTTGAGAACTGCTGTTGTAAGGGTCAGTTCTCTTTCCGTTGACTTGTGCTGCCGCATTCAGCTTTCGTTAAGTTACTAACTGTACGTGGCTCGATTTCTGGGTTCTCTGTTCCGTTCTCTGTGCTCTTGTGCTGCTGTTTTCATTGTATGTGTCTTTAAATATCTGACACCCCCCCATCAAATCTTCCAAGTAGACTTATTTGTTCTGGAACTGTTATTCTTCCGTATAAATTGTAGAATAAAATAATTTTGTTTCTCAAAACATGTGGAATTTTAATTTGAAGATACAGAATTTACAGATTAATTTGGGAAGCGGTGACATTCTTGCATTATTAGTAAGTCATATTCTCCAAGAGTATGTAATGTGTATCTTTTCCCAGATACTCTTTAATACTTCTTATTAGGATCTTAGTGATTTCTTCATAAAGGCTATAGATACATTTGGTTAAATAAAATGACCATTTATAATGAAAAGGAACAATTTTTAAATGTAATGTTTTCTGTTATTACATGCAGATTTTATATTTTACTAAGATTGTCCAGCCGCTACTTACTGACTTAAAGATGCTAGCTTGGTGTGCCTTATGTTACTTTTTAATAATCTGTTGATTGTTATTCCAGGAAAATG